TTAGATAGTCACAGTGACTTTCACTTGGTTCATGGATAGTCACGGTGACTCTCACTTGGTTCCTAGACAGTCACCGCGACTCTCCCTTGGTTCATGGATAGTCACAGTGACTCTCCCTTGGTTCATGGATAGTCACAGTGACTCTCCCTTGGTTCATAGATAGTCACAGTGACTCTCACTTGGTGTCTAGATAGTCACAGTGACTCTCATTTGGTGTCTAGATAGTCACAGTGACTCTCACTTGGTTCATGGATAATCACGGTGACTCTCACTTGGTTCTTAGATAGTCACCATGACTCTCCCTTGGTTCATAGATAGTCACTGTGACACTCACTTGGTTCATAGATAGTCACAGTGACTCTCACTTGGTGTCTAGATAGTCACAGTGACTCTCACTTGGTTTATGGATAATCACAGTGACTCTTACTTGGTTCTTAGATAGTCACAGTGACTCTCACTTGGTTCATGGATAGTCACAGTGACTCTCACTTGGTTCCTAGATAGTCACTGTGACTCTCACTCGGTTCTTAGATAGTCACGGTGACTCTCACTCGGTTCATAGATAGTCACAGTGACACTCACTTGGTTCATAGATAGTCACAGTGACTCTCACTTGGTGTCTAGATAGTCACAGTGACTCTCCCTTGGTTCCTAGATAGTCACAGTGACTCTCACTTGGTTCATAGATAGTCACAGTGACTCTCACTTGGTTCATGGATAGTCACAGTGACTCTCACTTGGTTCCTAGATAGTCACTGTGACTCTCACTCGGTTCTTAGATAGTCACGGTGACTCTCACTCGGTTCATAGATAGTCACAGTGACTCTCACTTGGTTCCTAGATAGTCACCATGACTCTCCCTTGGTTCATAGATAGTCACTGTGACACTCACTTGGTTCATAGATAGTCACAGTGACTCTCACTTGGTGTCTAGATAGTCACAGTGACTCTCACTTGGTTCATGGATAGTCACAGTGACTCTCCCTTGGTTCATGGATAGTCACAGTGACTCTCCCTTGGTTCATGGATAGTCACAGTGACTCTCCCTTGGTTCATAGATAGTCACAGTGACTCTCACTT